CCCTAAAGCATATAGAGTTACTATTAAACTTAGCAACTTACAAACAATATATTAGCTTTAGAGCTACCACCAAAGTTGGTTGGTTGGTTGTTTTTTAAAAAGCAAAACTGTCCTGGCTTTGTCCCATAAAAGCATTAACTGGAGACTTAAAGGAAAAGAAATGACCCTACATTGCCTCTGTGCAGTACTCCTGAATGGGATAATCCATCTGTTATGGAGGTGTTGATCAAATTATGTAGCTTAAAATATTGCTAAGTAGAGTCTCCATATTATTGCTTTGACTCTGCAAGCTTTTCTACAGCTGCTTTAAGTTGAGAATGTCGTTAATGAAGATGGAAATTGCTATATAACATATCTTATTAAAAGCTTTAGAGAATTTATGCTGTACTGCTGACCAAACAAACTTTCCCAGCAGGGTGCTGTTTGCCGCTTTCTGTGCTGTGGTGTGTTCTCAAGTGACATCTTGAAGCATTGCAGGTGGTTTGGCACACTTCTCTGCACTTCCAAGCTGTTTTAGCAGTATTCCTAAAGGTGCCAAAGACCTGGAAAACAAAACAAAACAAAAAGCTCCTTGGTTAGGACAGATCTATCAAAACCAAAGAGGAAAAAAAAAAAAAAAGAATGCTGAAAATGAGGAGCTCTGAGCAACTTGAATTTCACTAAAGTAAGAAAACAAATCTCTGCAATATTAGGTCAGTGAGGATCAATCAAGATGCTCTTGTTAGATGTGTGTGAACTCGTCTCTGTCATGTTTCTTAGTCTGTGCCTGAGACTCCTCCTTGTGTTACCTTGCAGCAGAACCCTGTGTTTATTTGCAACCCCGCAGCCGTCTCCCAACCACCCGATCGCCAAGCATCAGAGGTGAGATGTGCTCGGTGTGCGATCGGCTGCTGTACACCACAAACCTGTGGCATGTGGAGCTCTGCAGCTGAGGAGGGGCTGCTGCCACAGCCAGCGGGCAGGGGCTGTGCTGCTCAAGAAGCCCCCCTCTAGAAAAGCTCTGCTAGAAAGTGTGCCACTACTCTCTCCCTCTCAATGTATATACAGGATATGCATGATCCTAGCCATACAATACACATGCATCGGCATATTCATAACTCTCTGAAGATACATGATTGGTTTTGTTCACCTCTCAAAAGAATTTGTTCTAAATGTTTTTAAGGAAATATATCCAGTTACATTTGTCTTTTTTTTTTCCTAATCAACCTAAAACTGCAGTCTGTTGGTGGTGCTCTGGTAGAGAAAAGGGTTGTAAAAATATGAAGATACTTCCAGCGCATTAAAGGAAGACATCTGGTTAAATAAAACCAAACTTTCTTGCAAAGTTTCTTTTGGATGCAGAATGATCTTGCCAGTCATTGCATTTTGCAAAAACAAAAATTTGAATTCGACCTCTGTAACAATACGTTTTCTGTAATGGCATACTAAAAGTGGGCCTTTTATTCTCATTTCAACATTGTGTGCTACTCTGTTGGCCCCTGTGGGTGAACAACATATGAATCCCCCCAGTTTCATACTTGCCTTCATTTTACCAGAGCAAACCAAAGTCTGTTCAAATGCTCTGGTGCTCTGATTTAATGAAATAGAAAGTACTGTGTATTACCAGAAATCTGAGTAGGTTTCAGGATGATCTAGGTGCACTCTAAAAATTCCGTGCATCCCTACATATGTTTCATTCTTCTTGCACGACAGTTCAAAGATATTATTAAAAGCTAAGTGGCCTGCATGTCTATTCAGATTCATCGCTTGCGATTTCTTCCACTTCACTGTTTCAGCTGCAGAGCTGAAGAAGGACATCCATGTCTAAATAGAATATGCAGCAATGAACCCAAGTGGTTGCTTTTAAAAGCTGCTTTCTTTTATATGTATGACAATCTAGAGAAGGGCTATGCCATTCAGCCATTTTTATGCTTACTGAGCAGTATATTCTTATAAAAGCACTGGTGAGAAGGCTGCATCGCTTTTTTGCAGCCACACATCTTGCTGCTTTAGGGTATCGGCAGTGTAGCTGGGTTGTCCCAGTCCCTGGATGAATTATTCAGGCTCTCGACATCAGAGGTTTCCGCTAGCGGATTGGCTGGTGCTCGGGTAATAAAATCTTTCCACAGGAAAACAGTGGAGAAGGATGATGGCAGTGAGACTAGCAGAACCCTACTTCCAATACAGCTGGCTTTCTCTGGCTGTTGCATCTCTGCAAGAATATATAAAGATGTTTTTAAGCTCTAGCTTCATGCGAATTCTCCGATAAGAGCAAATGGAGGGATTTGTGTAAGAGGCCTGCATTTCCAGTGAAGGAAAAAAAACCAGATTGCTCTTGAAAAACTACTTCTGGCTGTATTCTAAAGAAACGCTGCACGCTACAGGAGACAGGAGTAGCAGCAGCCGCATCAGCATCAGCAGTGTTTATGGCTCGCTACAAAGGTGCTGGTGGCAGAAATGTTGCATCGGTAAATCTGCTTCCTGGGTTCTTTCAGTACTGGCAGGGTAAGTGGTGCAAATAAGGAGCTGACAGTCCTTGCAAGCGGGGAGAGTGTAAGAAACTGTATGGCACATGCATCTGGTGGGTATAGATAAACAGTACCTCTGCGAAGATGTTACGTCATTGCAATGAATTTCCAGGGCAATTTGTAAAAAGTGTATTTATCATGGCATTTGTCAAATCAATTCACTACTTGTATTATGTTCAGACAGAGGTTTTACAGTGGTAAAATCTGTTCCTTTTAAACCTATGCAAAATAAGTGCTATAAAAAAGGAAACTTTGTCATTAATAGTGTGCTCTTTATGAGCACTATTAATAACTATTAATTGGTCACATATATTTCCTTGAAGCAGATTATTTTGAAAGGCTATTTCTGCTGTTTTTTGGTATGACTGGAACTGAGTATGTCTTTTGCTGGTAAACATTTAGAAGCTGTGAGCTGGTTCTCTGCTTTCCAATTGTCGTCAGAAGGCTGCTTCTTGAATCGTCAGGATGCACTGGAACTGCAAATTAGGGAATAATTTTTCATATCTCTGATCAGAAGTTTGACTTATGAAGTCCCAGTTCTTGTCTTTTGGCATGCCATTGTTGTATTGGAGTTGCTGGGGAATTTTAAGTTGCAGAGGTGTGAATCAAGCCAGAGCTGGACTGCATGCTCGATCTCTGTCCCCACACCTACTCCCACACAACCCAATTCAAGTGTGTGAGTACTTCCGTGGAAATTAATTGGGCTACCTGTATATATAATTGCTTGTCAGAGCAGAGCTGACATTTACTGTATGTCACAAGGGAAACATCTTATTCGTGGTTAGAAACCATACAGTGAGAAGTCTGTTTTCCAGAATGTGGAAACAATCATCACGTATACAGTAAAGACACCCCTTGCCAAAAATAGTCAGAATGAAGCACAGTGCAGTATTTTGAGTGATATTTTTCAGAACTTGCCTGTCAGTGCAACAAGTAGATTCTGAGAATGTGATGAATGTTTTTAAAATGATGTAAGACAGCCTACCCAATGAAATCAAAGAAAAAGAAGGTAAAGAATGCAAAATTATTTTCTTAGACATGAAGCGTGCTAATCTAGCAATGTATTAGCTGAAGAGGTATGTATCTTTTTTTTTTCCTCTGGTATTTCTTATAGGTGAGATATTGGTTATACGTTAAGAAAATACAAAATCCCTTAGTCATAATGCACAAACACTTTTTGGGAGCTCGTATGTGGTGAGTGAGCCGTCGTTGTCCTGCTAAAGATAGCATTTTGGCTGATGAATTTTGTGCCATATTTTGTATCTTTACATACCCTCACTGTGAAGCAGCATTATGTGAGTGTAAATCAGGGAGCTTAGTAGTAGTGGTACATCAAACTTATTAGTTGTCTATTCCAGAGCTTTAGAGGGAATTAAGTAATATTCCCTTTTGATTTTACAGATGTGAAAGAGATCAAATCACTCTTCAGTGCTGCACAAGTCAGTAGCAAAGGCAGTAGCTAATTTTAGATTCTCCATCTGTAGGTTTTGGGACATGCATGTGTTCTTATAAAAAGTCAATATTTAACAGCAATTTTATTTATTTGGATTTTCTGTAGGGGAATGAAGGTACTCATTCAGAACTGATGATGGCAATAATATGATTTGGTTTTCAGTGAAATAGGTATTTCCTTTTATTTTTGTAAGAAAAATCCCCAATATAAATACTTGAATGCCACTGGCGTGAAATTGCTCCATGTGTCAAACCTGATTCCCCACTAGCAAGGGTCAGGACTTTGTGGACTGGTTATGGCGCTGTGATTCTCTTCCCTCTGCAGCCATGGTCCTGGCTGCTGAAGCTGGAACAGCTCATTCAGGAGCTATTTTTGTCTATGCAGCTGGCAACAGTCCCCGAGGGACTATCTGAGAATCAGTGAAATTCACTATAAATCAAACAAGTGCTTCAAGACAGGACTACAGGAGCTAGGAAGGAGAAGTACAGAAAATCCTCAATGTTGCCAATGGCTCCTCCCTTTCTGGATCTCCTAGAGGACAAATAAGCTTCATAATGCAATTTGAAATCTTTAATTTAATATTATAACATTTTTCAAATGTACACGCTAGGAGTATTTTTTCTAAGTCTTCAGCTGATTTTCTAAATAAAAGCAACTTAACTGTCAGAGACTTGGATTCTGGTTAAAAAGTACAGACAAGTTCTAGATGCTCAGACCTTGGGTGAATGTAATACAGACTTAGATGTCAAATTTATTTTGGCATTCAGATTTGAAATGCTGTCTTACAGTTCATTTACTCATTAAGACTTGAACTTTGCTGTGAAACTCTACAAATAGTCAAGTGTCAGAGCGTCATTATAGGAATATAAAGTATTTGTTATGGGTAGTTACAGGCAAAATTAACTGTCTCAAGAAAACATAGTGGCTTTTCTGGCAAATGCAAAATGCATTTGTTGTCAATATAGAATATTATTCTTCCATGATGTAAATCCAAAAGGATTCATCAATGTCTAATCAAACTGATTTCCCTTTTTTCTCAGATGAGCAAGAGTCCGTGCAGAAAAGGACTTTCACAAAATGGATCAACACTCACCTGGCTAAGGTAATATATGACTTTGAAATTACTTTTTTTTTTTTTTTTTTAAAATCCAAACCTTTTTATCTATGCCTGTAGAGGCCCTGGAGTGTAGAATATGTAAGACTTGGCTGAGTAGAATGGCATAAATTTAAAAAGGGGTCCCTGCTATCTGTACCCCCTAGAGGATGGCTCCATTTTAGCAAGATAGCAGTCAGCTGCAGCGTTGTGAGTGGTGTCTGCAGGCAACCACCCAGCTCCTTTGGCCAAAACTGAAAGGCAGCACAGTAGCTGCTATTTCAGCCAGCAGAAATATTTGAAACTGCTTTCTATGAACAGAAATATTAGCCTTATTACATACAATGTATTTGAATAAAACTTGAGTCAGTTGTGTCGTTTGATAGAGGCATTCTCAAATGGTTAGAAACATTAATAGTGCTTCATGAATCCAGTGCTGAATTAATTACCTGATGAGTCTTGGGATTTTTTATGGAATTATTGTTGCTTCTGCTTACCACAACCTAAACCTCATTTTTTTGTTTTAGCAGAATAAAGACAGTGATTTACACACAATTTTGAAAGTACTAAGTTAGAACTGGTACCAACTTTATCTGACAACATAAGCAGTGAGATTTAATTTGGCATTTCCTGGAGTTTTCACAGCACAGCTCTAATCATAGTTATCAATTAGTCCAGTAAATTAAAATATTTAAACACTAGAGGTGGTCTTTGAAATGCATATTTTTAAATCATGAAGATTAATGAACTTGAAAATTGGGAAAGGAATAGCTGCAAGATCACTGATTTGCCTTCTGTGTAAAGAATTGGCTAATAATGCCCTCAAAAATGAACAGAGCACAGCAGGAAGCCCATATAATGCTATATCATGTGATTTGGTCTAATGAGACTGTATGGTAGAGCAGCAGCATTTATTTACTTTACTGAAGAATTTAATTGAGGAATTTCCTGTGAAATGAGCTGTGCTGACATTGTAAAATTCAACTGCAAGAACAAGGCTTTCTTCAGGACTTCTGACAGTGGATCATCACTGGGAATGAGTTCTGTCCCCCCATTCTCTTTGGAATATTTGGAAAAGGTGCCCATGCATCAGAGAACTTAAGCACTCTATGTATGTTCCATTTACTTCAGCCGAGATGGAAAGAAACTCAGTATTTGCTTAAGTGTTAGCAAAGCAGGCCGTGAACGTGTGTCAGAGCAGAAAAAAAGAGCTCTTATTTCATGTTTTTCTGTTTGCTAATTGTATTGCATCATTAGTAATTGATCAATAATGTCTGATAATAATTAACAATTAGTTATATGTATATATTGTCATATATATATGTATGTGTAATGATAAATTGCTAGTAATAACTGACTAATCCTTGGGAAGAGACAACATCATGGCAGTACCTCAGTTAAGATATTTTGCTCTGGATTGAGTGTTGTGAACTCTACGTTTACTCTACCAGTTCGTTTGGGCCATGAGGGCTCAGGTAGACCTTTTGGCTTGCGTGCTCTAGGCGTATATCTCTTTAATAGGTCTGATATTATAAAGGCAGATCAAATACATTCAAACCAAGCGGTTCACCAGCCACAGCCCTCACTTTCAGCTACCTGAGCTACTCTGTAGTAATCGGTCTGTGCTGATTCACCCTTTAACAGGAGAGTTGTTTCTATGATACTTTTGCAGATGGCTGTCAGCAAGTTTGCCTCACTGCCTGAGCCAGATGTATAGATTAGCTGGCTTTGCTTCCCATTTATTCTGTTACGCTGCTGCAGGAGAAGGGCTGTTTATAGATTATAGAGATTAGACTCAACAGAAGAGGAGTGACCCCTGCCAATCAAGTTTTTAAGTTTTTAAAAACTTAGGCTTTTGTATCTTTGTTAGTCATGTTTTTGGAAAGTATGGAAATATGTTTTCTGTGTTCATCACAGCTGTAGGAAATGCTGATGGGTCTGTGAAACGTACGGGACTCCCCTTACACTCATGTTATGATTTGTAAGCCAGAAATTCGATATTTAGGTTACTTGATTCTTGTAAAAGATTGTTGCGGATTTTATTATGTCAAAAGAAATTGGAAAGCTGTAACATCTCCATTGTCTGGATGCCTTTGAAATGTATTAAGGAAAAATCCTGGAAGGAGACCCACTTTTAGGCAGCATTGTCTGCATTTTGCTCTCATCTTTGTACCCAAGAAAATGTGGAGCACCTGCCAAAATGGCACCTAGTGAGGAACACCACCATGAAGCGCTGGCCTCACACTGATGGCAGAGAAGCAGCAATGCATGCTTCTGCATTTGGGCCTGTGTCTGTTAAAGCCGGTGACCTTATGCTGGGGTTTACTGATATGGAGGGAGATGTAGGACCCAACTGGGTGCAGGTGCCCGGGTGCTGGTGGGGGGGGGCTGCAGGGCGGCCTCTGTGAGGAGAGGCAGGGACTGCCCTGTGCCAGACACAGACGGTTCCAGCCGGCTCCAGTGGACCCACTGCAAGGCATAGCTGAGCCCCTCAGACAAGATGGTGGCGCCTCTGGGAAAGCATGTTTAAGAAAGAGCAAAATGCTGCACAGGCAGTGAGAAGTGAGGGGAAAAGCATGAGGAACAGCCCCGCAGACACGGAGGTAAGAGCAGAAGGAGGGGAGGAGGTGCCCCAGGCGCCTGAGCAGAGACTCCCCTGAGGGCCGTGGAGAGCCCACACTGGAGTAAGATCCTGAGAGGAGCTGCAGCCTCCAGAGAGGAGCAGACGTGGGAGCAGGGGAGAAGCGTGAGGAGGAAGGAGCAGCAGAGAGAAGCTGTTATGGAGTGACCACAGCCCCCATCCCCCTGAGCCTCTGGGGGACAGAGGAGCTGGCTGTGAAGGAGTGAAGTTGAGACTGGGGAAAAATGGGGTAGGTGGGGAGAAGGCGTTTTCAATTTTGCCTTTGTTTCTCACCATCCAAATCTCTTTTCATTGGAAATAAGTTAATTTTCCCCAAGTAGAGCCTGTTTTGCCTGTGACGGTAACTGATAAGTGATCTCCCTGTCTTTCTCTCGACCCACAAGCTGCTGCTTCTTGTTTTCTTACCCTGTCCTTTCTTACCCCCTCCTGAGGGGGAGTGAGAGAGCAGCTCAACCCACCAACGAGGACATGTGAGTGTTACCCACACAATCAGAGGTGAACTTACAGAGTTACTCTTCAAGCGTGTAGCCTTTTTTCTGCTCCCCTACTTCGTGTGTGTGTGCACACCAGTTGCCAGACTCCAATGTAGCCCAAAGCGCAATCCAGAGTTACTGTGCTGAGTTTGACTCAATATATACAGGCTTCAAAATTAACAGTAACTTCGCTTCAAATTGGCTCTCTATTTCTTGGCTAGTCTTGTAAAACTTTGCACTTCTTTCCTTTCATTTTTGGAGGAAAGTTTAACAGTTGCCATTTTTACTAATCTAGTAAAATTGGTAATGGAAAAAGTAATAGGAGGAAATAAGAAAAAACCTAAAAACTGTAACTGAAACATCTGTAACTAACATCATGGCTATCTGGAGAAATATTCCATCATGAATGAGTTTGGGTTTTCTAAAAGTGCTGGTGAGTAACTGCATGAAACCTCAAAGCTGGGAAAAATTAAAGCAAAGATTGATGGGATTTCACTGTAGCAATTTGAAAGGTGGGTTTACTGATGGCAAAGGAAGCAACCCTACCACGGTAGAGTTTTCATCCTTAAACTCTGTTGGTTGAGTAGAGCAAAGGAGGATTAAAAAAGAGCAGTTTCTGACATTGTGAAGGGTTGTGATTTGAAAGAAATGGAAATGCAGAACTGATTTGATTGTGTTAGGTAGGACTGAGAACAATTAATAATTTGAGAATATAAAGCAGGAAGTGGTAGTTTTTCAGGGTGTGCTGTAAGTGAAAGATTCTTCACTGCTAATGTTTAAAAACTTAGTGTATGAGAAACTAGTTCAATAACTAAGTTAAGTCCATCAAGTAGATTAAAAAATAATTTTGGCTTTTTACCTATAAAGTTAAGAATGGGTTTGAGAATTGGATACAAATAAATAAGAATGAACAAAACAGGCAAATGAAATGAGAGTACTGGTGAATTGAACTTTAATAAAGGGAGTAGGAAGGAGGTACTTTTTTTTTTTTTTTTATTCTTTCTTGCTCTTCAATAGAAAGCTACCATTTTAAAATTATGTTTCCTAATTCAAAGGTGTATTCTTCCACAAGCAGAAGGCAGTAAAGGACTTGGCGTCAGCTAATTATGCGACACCTCAAAGTCCTAGCATGAGTTGTGCCCTCACCCACAGGGGACAAACACAGAGGAAAGAACTGCAAGTATGATAACTAACAGGTAGTATAGCACAGCTGCATTTTGGGTCAGCTGTTAACACTAGGCTGCATCTGTCCCTCTGCTGTCTGTGTCCCTAACCCCAGCTGAACCCGTTCTGTGATTTTTGACTCGGGAATCTGATGAGACTCAGCAACTGGAAATTGCCCCTTTCCTCGTCCACCCACTTGTAGAAATTGGGGCCCAAGGTACCAAATGAACGTGGATCTATCTTCTGGCCATCCAATTTAAGTTTTGTGCATTTGTGCAGTTCTAATAATGATAAATGAGATATGCGTGTGTAACAGGACAGGAAGTTTTCTAATTGCCTATTATTTATTCGTATTTCTCTAAGGTTCTAGAACTGAACCTCCCTCCTCTCAGTCTCAGCCTGCAAAGACAGAAATAATTTGAGTATGCTTCTGCGTATCTTTTGAGGCATCTTTTCAAAGTCTAAGTTTAAAATATGTAACAACATTACACCAAATATGTCAAAAAGGAGACATTAGATCCATTCAGAACAGCAATTACTTAAATGTTTTTCATTTCATTGCCTTTGCTGATTTTTTTCAGATAGTGTATTAGATGAGTAAAGAAGATGAAAAACATGCCTCTTTGTGAAACTACAGAGGCATAAGTCTTTTATTGCCTTTGCCATCTTTGGTGAAAGTGTTGGGAAACAGTAGTTTCAAAGCTTTGGAGCACGGGCTGTAAGTTGGTTTA